TCTTTCATCACACAACCTAAACTTACGGAGTAACTGTAGAAAAGACCATCTGGAGGATGCCTGAGCTCCTTCCAGAAAGCCCCACAGCCACTGTGTGACATGGGTGACTGCTGCTGCCCTGCTCCACACGTGTGCTCCAGCAACACGTGTGCTCCAGCAAGGAGCACCCCTGTGGCAGCCTCTTGCAGAGCAGACAGAAGGCAGGGCATCGACCTACCCTGTGTCACCAAAGACTGCTTTGATAGGCCCAGACCCCACCTTTGACCAGCTAAATAGGTTTATGTGCAATGTTTGACACTAAAAGAGTATGTGCTGTCAAATTAATTTTGGAGGCTCTAAGTTGCAAAATTAAGCACTTACATGGGCAGTCAAGCAACTCCTGTGCACCTCAATCTTTCAAAATTTTAAAAAATCCAGGGACTGTATCCTTGTGCTTAACCATTTGACACACCGATCTGAATTGAACATCTGGAGCTGTGAGAATTCTGAACGACCAGGATAGCCTGATATGCTAACACCTGCAAACAACCATCATAAGGTGAAGCTATTACATTAAGATTACATTGACCTTAAGCGAGGAAGGATTTGGAAGCAGATCTATATAAGGGAAGACTCAGGGTCTACCACAAAAGATTAATCCAAATTAGAAGAAAGTCAGAAAAACAAATTCTGGCTTACTGCAGTTCAAATCAATATCCCATTTTCAGCTGTTAATTTCATAGTAATTGTTTCTTATTTTCCTCCACATGCGCTCTATTGAAAACGCCAACCACACTAAGGGTAGTGAAAGGGTGAAGAAGACTTTTCACCTATTAACATGCAGATTTTATGACAAAAGCCAAGTCCTACTCCCTTAGGACTTATTTTGCAATGACTTTTAAGATGTCTTCGCATTACGGCAGATCAGAAGCAAGAATTAAGAACAGTAGGTATTCATTTTACTGCAAACCATAACTTCACACATAGAACTTTACAGGTGATAAGATAAAAAAAAATGTGTATCATTCAAACTTACTGAGGTGCACTGTATCTCATTTAGAATAATCTCACTGATGGGAGAAGTTGTTTATTGAGGGAAGCCACAGGTGCACATCAGACACATCAGGTGAACAAGAAAGAGTTCACCATTCAAGAGCCATGCCTTAGGGAATAAAAACCTATTTAATTTAAAATACCTAAACCTCCTATCTATATAACCATAACAAATTTAACAGGGACCATTTACACATCTATGCTTGCATGAAAACAATAGGTGAAGGGTCTCAGGTGCAGATTTACTACGAGATGAAGGGAGATGCACTAGTTTTCCCATCCACATATCTGTGCATGGCACAAGAGAGCTCAAGTTGTGATATGGATGCATGGGTACACATCCAGGCATGCTTTTCTACTACTGTTAAGGAATCATTTCCTACAACAACCAGATCATATTTTAAAGACACAAATACAAGTCCAGTTAATACAATAATAAAAAAAACCACCTATACACATTTCTGCAAGTTTAATTCCGTAATGAACAGATTTTCTCAAATGATAGTAGCAATTTCTTTACCTGTAATAAATACTGAATGTGTAATTTTAAAATTTAAGTTCAGTATTTCAATATAAAATGGGTACTAGAAAGTGACATTTTGTATTTTATAACAGTCTGAGAAGGACCCAATTAAAAATAACTTTCTCATTTTTTCTTTAAATACAGCTAGTAGTTTCTCAGTATCGTGTGAGAAACTGTAAGGGCTGATTAGCATTTGAAGTCTGCCACATACTAACTGTTAGAGTAAAAGGAAATCAATCTGACAAAACGAAGCATGACAGATGAGGAGAAGTGAGGGAAAAGGTCATCACTGTGAAACTGATAATGTTAATAAACTGGTCAGCGGCAACCATCCTTATCACTTCAATTGATTATTCTTCAGACTGTCAAAATGATGTCAACCGACAGAAAAAGGCATTTATACCATCATTGCATTGATTAAAATTAAGTGGGAGGAAATTCTAATCTGAATTAAACAAACTTTTACAACTCAAAAAAAACCCAACACTCCTCTCTGGATTACATGCCACATCAGGACTGGTAAACAGATTGGAAATTTCTGGTTCTTGAGCCTTGTGTCCTCTCTTTCTTTCAGCCTTTGTGTTTTACATTCAGATGCTGTAGGAACGAGAGGTGCTACTTTGGTTTTGTATCAAGGTGGTGCACAAATCAAAACAAATAACAGAATCACAGAAATCACAGAATCTGGTTGGAAATTCCATTTCAGTGAAGCCACTGAGGGAAGGAACACCAGAGCCAGGAATCCTGCTGGTGGATCCTTCTGCAGCAGCTAAACCACAAGGAAACCCTCAGCAAAACTGAGGAAGAGGAGAGAGAGAGAAAAGGAGAGACTCAGTCCCAGCCCCTGTCCCTGCCATCAACAAGGGGGAAAAGGATTCTTGGCCAGGAGTTGGCGGGGCTCACTGAGAGAGCTTTAAACTAGACTTGAGGCGGGGCAGGGGACAAAACTGGATGGTTTGATTTCCAGGACACCAGGCCTGCTGGCATTGGATGAGAAGACCCTGTCCTGCAGAGGATAAAGGGTCCTAGGGCAGGAGTTAGCAGGGCTCATTCTCAGAGCTTTAAACTAGATTGGAAGTAGGAGAGGGTTGTAGCTGGGTTTGAACTAGTGGGGCATTGCTCTAGTATTAAAGAAGACCAGAAGGCTCCTGCTTCCCAAGGGTGCCACCAGCCTGCTCAGCTCGCTCCCTGAAATGCCTGTACACCAAGGCAGGCAGCAAGGGGAATAAACGGGGGGAGATATAGGTCTGTGTGTGCTCTAAGGGTTGCGATCTGGTGGCAATTACAGAGACATGGTGGGACAGCTCACATGACTGGAATGTGGTCATGGATGGCCGTGTCCTTTTTATGAAAGAGAGGTCAGCAAAGTGAGGTGGTGGAGTTGCTCTTTATGTGAGAGAGCAACTAGAATGTATTGAGTTCTGTCCAGGGGCTGATGAGGAGCAAGTGGAAAGTCTGTGAGTACAAATTAAGGAGCAGGTTGGAATGGGAGATACAGTTGTGGGGGTCTATTACAGACCTCCTGCTCAGGACAAAGGAGCTGATGAGGCTTTCTACAGACAGCTGAAAGCAGCCTCACAACTACAGGCCTTGGTCCTCATGGGGGATTTTAACTCCCCAGGTATTTTCTGGAAGGCCTACACAGCCAGCCATTCACAGTCTAGGAGGCTCCTCCAGTGCATCAATGACAACTTCTTGATGCAAATGGTGGACAAACCAACTAGGAGAGGAGCGCTGCTGGATCTTGTACTCACCAACAAGGAGGGCCTGGTTGAAGCAGTGATGGTCAATGGCTGCCTTGGCTGCAGTGACCATGAGACAGTGGAGTGCAGGATCCTGTGTGGGAGGAACAGAACACCTAGCAGGACCAGAACCCTGGACTGCTGCAGGGCCAACTTTGGCCTCTTCACTCAATTATTAAGAGAAGTCCCATGGGGCAAGGGGTTGTTCTTCCCCAGATGCAAGACTGCTGATACAAGTCAGGATGCTGTTGGCCTTCTTGGCCACCCAGGCACACTGCTGGCTCATTTTCAGCTGGCCATCAGCCAACACCCCCAAATAGGATGCAAGGTGGTGTAAAAAGGCTAGACAGAAATGGGAAGTTGAGTCAGTGGAAAATGCATTGTTCATGTGCACTAAATAAAATGTTTTAATGTGTTTTGTGCAAGTCAATTCTATCTGGAAAGAGGAAGACACAGTAACTACCTCTGGATAAAGACTATTTCAAATCTGACATATTTAATGGCTCTCCTGGCATTCACCAACCCCACTAAAACAGCAGACAGGACAAACAATTGGGTTGACAGTGGTTGTGGCAGTAAACTTATTTGGGAATTATATTTCATGCCACCATCACTAAGACATAATTATGCCAACAGTGTAGTAAACAGATATTCAGACAGAAAAGGAATTAAACTACCCTAGAAGGAATGATGAGCCACATAAATATACACCATCTCTACTTAAGTTCTGAAACTCACGATCTAAATCTAAGAAAAGAGCAACATAAGAAACTGTTAGAATATCCTTGGACTTTTGTCAAGGCTAATCTCTTGCACATCTGTTATAAGCCACAGCTACTGTGTCTATAATAGAAGATTATTTTCATTTACAGTTTTTCAAAGATTTGACACTCTGCAAGCATTGTTTAAACAACTAATAACTTCTAACTTTTGAGTACTGAGGCACAATGAAAATAAGGCTTACTTTAAAAAAAATGTGACAGTCACACGTAAAAAATCTGCAAATGACTTAGAAACATTGGTATGCAGTCCATATAGCAAAGTAACTGTACAAAACCCTTGCAGTAGCAATACACTTGTCATTTCACAAGCAGACAAAAGAGTAAAGGCTTATTTTCCTCGTCCTAGATGTCATCCTTTCTAATCAATGTGCAAAACCAGAGCTGCTGCAAATGATCCTTTAGCAAAAAATAAATAGAAAATAGAATAGTGATACCTAGGTTTACACCTCCATCGAAAGCCACCAAGAGTGCAATAGAGAGATTATAACTTGTAATAATTATGCAGTGTCTTCTTGTTTCTATGACCAACATGCACACAACAGTGTCAGGAAATGGGCCTCTAGATCAAAGACTTAAAATAAAACAGAATCAAATGTTTTATCCTGCCACATCAAAGCTCGTTTGCAAATATTTTTCACATCAAGTACACAGAGCAATTAAAATCATTAGCACTGCAAGAAACTCTCTAAAAAGAAAACTTGATTTTTAGAGCTTCCAAGTGCAAAGACACATCCCAAAGTATTTACCAGCTAAGAGCTGCCATAAAAAGAAAGGGGTCTCACAATATTAGCCAGAAGCAAGGATGAAAAAAGTCCTTTGTATTCTTGTTGTCAATAAGTTACTGGAATTATATGCCATATAAAAAGAGAATAACATCAAAAGCACTTAAATCCATTTGACATTTTAAGCTGCACAAAGGAGAGACTCAATTCAGTAGACTGTAGTCTTAAAGTAAGATTTTTTGGGTAGTAACCTAGCCTTTCCATGCTTCTGCTGTGTGGTCTTTGAGTAACAATCATGCAGCAGAGTGAAAGAGAGTCCTCCACCTGCATGTAATAATCTTATGTACAGAGTAAGCAAAGTTTTACGGTACTGTTATCACTGTTTAGAATTCTCAAGAGTTTATACAA